TTTTCTCTCTTTACTTATCATACCATAATACTACCTCTGATGGGTAATATTTTCATTTTAATAGCTTGGAACTTTTAGTTTTGAGGAAATTAGATAGTATTTTAGTATTTTTAAGTTAGCTAATGATTTTCGTTGTTTCCATCATAACTTTAAAAATATCAAAATCAAAACAATCCCTTTCCTATTTTTATTATTATTAATGTTGTTAACAATTATATGTATAAACTCTACATCCCGAAGTCATACAGTTTGAGGTGTCCAAATGATTCATTTTTGTTTTTATTGCCATCAGGTGACCTCGAGTACGCATCATTAGATATTTTTGCTTCAAAGACATTACTTCTATATTCAATAGTTATGCGCTCCATAGCAGTTGTTTTTTTTTGTGTGTAGATGAGGCTACTTGAAATGGACAATTTGTTCTTTTCCTACAATAAAAGAAAATCTTAAACCCGGTGAAGTTAATTTGTCTCACACCTATCAACCTTAAGGACTGTGTAGAACCTCTGATATCAGGACTTTCATTATTAAATACATTTTGCTAATTTGACTCCAAACTCTTAACTAGATGTTAATAAGACTGCTCTTCAATTTCTTTCAGTTCGTAATATAAACAGAAACAACCAAAATGTAACTGTTAGCGTTAATGATATTACTTTGTCAATGGTGTTCTACTGGAGTCATTCAGCTAGGTATTGCTTCCTTGCTTCGAAGTACTCTTGAATTATCTTGCATACACAGTACAGCGCTAATACAATATTGTCGTGTTATATTTAAAACTGGAGCAGTAAAACCAGTTTTAAAAACAAATTCCTTGAATAATTTCTCACGACAGTCATTATCGATATTATGGTCACTTTTTTCTTGTTGTTGTTGTTGTTGTTGTGGGCTAGTGTTTATCAATGATCCTCCGAAAGAATTCCTACATCAAAGAAATAATATTTAGTTTCATATATTTAGTTGAACACACTTCAGTCATGTATCACTTCTAATCCAAGTTGAAATCTCCCTTCTCCATAACTGAACAGTGCCTTATGTTTAATTAACGTATCTAATTATAGCTTTCAGTAATGGATCCCATTTTTTTGCTTTCACCTCCATTGATATACTAAGCCTACGTTCTGCTCGTAATTTATTATGTCTTTATACGCCAAAAGATTATTCATTTATCAGAATAAACTCACTTTTCTTAGTCAAAGTGGTAATTTTTAGATAAATTTAGAATTATCATCTAGCAAGTGTTCGTAATTCCGCCAAAAGAAAATTGTCTCACAATATTTCCGGATGTGGACACACTAAACTATTTTTTGCTGATCAGCTAGAACTAGGTTTACCAAGAATGGATATTCTACAGAGAACATCACATATCACTACTAAACCAGTCGACTGTCTTCACTTAGGTCATGAAGCTTTCAACTGGAGTTTGTTTCCAATGGCTTAATTTTTTTAATCGCGTGATCAAATATTTACCCAGTTTCTTCTTCGGGCCCTCCAGAGATACAGCGGTAAGCCTGCGGACGTGTAACGCTAAACATCGGTTTTCGATACACATTGCGGGCACAACACGGATAGCCCATTGCGTAGCTTTGTGCTTAGATACAAAGAAACAAACAAATCTCTCTTCGGTTTTGGAATAATAGGGTCCAGACTTTACACTGAGAAGAAAAACTGACTACATTGGCTATATATAGACTAGACATATCCTATTTATTAATGGCATCGTGTTGAGGATCCATTGTAAGGAAGACTGTGCTGCCAAAGTTACAAATCCGTTTTTGTAATTAGGAAGTTTACCCTTTCCTAATGCAATGTAATTGGTAGCTGAGTGCACAATATTTTATCAAATGACTGGATCCTATGCTCTAAAACTGTAATATAGTGTTCCTTGAGCAGCCGCTCCCCCTACCCCTCAAATTAAAAAAAAAACTCAGGTTAATCTTCCATATGCTTATATAAATACTTTCGCATCTATCCTAGTCAGATATCTAACCCTTCCACCATAAGTAAAAGGGATCGTTGACCACAGACTGCTATAGAGAACAGTATTCAGTCTTGGAGGTATCTTTTGGGGTCATCTTTGAATGCAATGTTTAGTCAAGAACGTTAAGTGAGTATCGCCAATTTCATTTTAAATAATTAAAATTTCCATCAAGCCACCGTTCTGTAAATTCGTTTGGCACTATGGTATGGAGCACACTCATACTGCCTATACGATAAGCCAGACAGCTGTAACTTGTGAAACTGCCTGTTTATAGCTCTTTTAGGGGTGAGTTTTTCAATAATAAATCTCCAATGGGTACCGGAAGTATCTGCTCCAAAAAGTTATTCCATTCTACAAGTAGAAATTTTGTCAAACGAGCACTTTAAAGTCAAATCCACCATCTTAGAAAACTAGAGCTCTTCATTTCTAGGTTTTACTTTTAATTAATTCATTAACTGCTGTCAGGTAATCCTCCAAAAACTCCCTTTCTGTATAACACAGAGTGCAAAAAAAAAAACTTTTTAAGAAAAAAAAAGCATATTCCAGCAAGAAAGGTCATCATTATTGAGCTAAAGGACAAATAAAAGTTACAAATAAAAGTTAAAAAGCACAAAATACTTATCTCTATGTAGTTCATAGTGGCACCAAGAAAAATATGGTTTAGTCATAGTTTGGAATGTTCTGAAGTACTACTTCTTGCAAAAGAATACATAAAAAAATCTTATGTAGTTTTTCAAGAAACGTAAGACAAAGAAGAAACGCTCTTTACTTCATCAGAGCAAACAGGAATAGTCACAATGACAAATATAGTAACAAAATATCAGACTCACAATATTCTTGCTCAGAAACACTAAAGAGCATTTAATTTCACATAAAACATCCTCTAAATATGGCTTTTTCAATAAAAAATACGATATTTTTTTATTAATTTAGGCTGTATACGTACTGTAAAACCAGAAAATTACATGCATTCTTAATATTTTTCCTAATGTACATCTGCCATGCAGTAAGTGGTTATTTCTTCACTCTGTTGCCAAGATTGTTAAGTTTTGGACATAATTCACCTTAAATCACTGGAACAACCGCAACTTTTAGAAATACCCATAATTATCCAGCCTTCTAAACTAGCATCAACTAAGACTTAGTTAAGTTCAAGCAAAAATACAGGGTTTCCCAAAAGCACTTGTACAGAAGAAATGTAAGATTTCTACAATTTTTAAGGAGTTAGTGTGCAGGTCTGTAATCCGAGGTTCTTCATGCTCCGTTAACACCAAATAGAATCGTGTTCTGCACTTCTGGGGCCGTGAGTGCATATTGCATAAGTGTAATGTAAACATTATTTGATTATAATTGTTATCATGTATTTTAATTACTATCGATAAGCATGGCAACACCCACTTTGAGGTTGCATTGTGCCAAAAACCACCATGTGTTGTAATGTTATCCCACCCATTCCTACCTTGTTTGCTTGCTTTTTGGTGCTCCCATTTCTACTTCTTAATTTTATTATTTAAATGTTTTTACACTTGTCTCATAGTTTTTTTGGTACTAAGTCTCGAGAGTGACTGGACTTTAGACTTATCCTTCTCGTAGCTTTCCTTAGAGCTATTTCTCTAAGATTTCCTTGCTGTTGTTGAGATCTTTGCAACAGTTATTCTTCTTTCTAGTTCCGGTGGCAGCCTTTTCTTTGGCTAGATTAATGGCTAAGGCTTGTTTCGCATATTCAGCGTTACTGTTTCTTACCTTATTTCTATTCTTGAAGTAATGCTTTCTTCGTTGGTACAAAGACTTTTCAAGGTTATCAATACAAGATTTTAGTTATAACATAGATCTAGAGAATCTACATAGTCCACGTTTTCTTATCTAGCTGATACAGCTGCAGGCTGACCATTATCGCAGACGTATAAGCAATCGTGCACCCACACGTAATATGAGAGTGGGTTTGTACTTGGCAACTCACAGAGCATGCTCATAATCATAGAATATGGCTACTAATGCATTCTTAACTCGTTAGTAGTGTTTTAAAAAAGGCTATTGTTATTACCAAGGTTATGAGGACAACTAAGAAAAACGCTTTTAGCCAATGTAGCGTAATTCAGTCATGTGCACTTAGATTTATATAAGGTGAAAACAGGAGAGCTATGCCTTTCCAACAACGTTAGTCAGTCAGTCAGATAGTCAGATTAACAAATGTGTGTTTTTATGAAATTCTTGTTTTTACTCTACCGACTCTCTCAAATGCTTAGGTGGCTTGTTACTGTGCAGTTGGTTTGTTTACTACTCAACATTATGTATAAAGTGCTTATAAAGTTGGTTTACACGCTGTTTGCAGTGTGTTTGAGATTTAAATTTGTATTAAACATATTGAACATCTAGCCCATTCCTACTATAAGTACTATCGTAATTATAATAACTGATTTACAGTGTAAATACTAATGAGGCCTGTATTTGTAAGGCTTAAGCTATAAAAGGTGTTTTATGAACAGAGTGAGGATTAGAAATGGTAAGTTATGATATGAAATATGAGTTGTTTCTTATATACTAAAAGATACAGAGTCTGGTGGTTGAACACAGTTTCAAAGTTACTAGTTTTTAACTGGAGTAGGCTTAAGTATGAATTAATTTAAAATCGCGATTAATTCAAAAGAACAGATTATGTTTCTAATACGTGAAAAAAACACGAACTTTGGGAAATCGTTGCGTTCGATCGAAGAATTGGTAATGTAAACGTGCACAAAACTGCCTTTATATTACAAATAACTTCCAAGGCTATGGTTCTCAGTTGAGTACACCATGACAAATGGCGTCTTATAATCTATATCACTGTATAATCAAACGAGCAAAAATAAAATACAAAGTCTGGGCTGTCATACATCGTTTATTTCTACACGCAATTCCAAAAATCGCGAATTTAAAGATAACAATATTTCAGCTTGCTTCCAGAAGTTATTATCTAATTAATTTTCTTTCGTATGGTCACGTTGCTGCCAATTTTTTTATGCCTTTATATTTTTCGTAGAAAATCCCATTGATTGTGGAACGTCTAATCACAGACACTGTTTTGTAGCAGATGACACTTATGGCATAGTTGGAGCTAATTTTCCGGCACTGGAGTTGATGGCGCTTTACACAGCAGCTGCCATGCACGATTATGATCACCCAGGCAGGACAAATGCATTCTTAGTATCCACTTTTGCACCACAGGTGGGTGATAGGATAGTTCTCTGTATTGTTCGAATGTTTGATACCTGGTTTCGGTGGTTGAAAAATACGTCTAGTATTTAGAGTAAAAAGTACTCCAAGTGTCTCTTACATTTATATCTAATGACAATGTAATTGCCCGATGTAAAAGCAAGAGACACTGGACGTAATTTTTATGCTATTCGGTATTATGCTTAATGGTATTTATGACTGACTTAGTTTTGTTTTTGTTATGAAGTTCTTTAGATTTAGATAGATTTTTAAATCATTGCACCATCATGGAAAGACTGTGGTTTGTTTAATGGTATTTATGACTTAGTTTTGGATCCACAGTGAAACTGAAACTGTCCCAATCAGTGCATTCGTAATGTTAGGCAGTGACACTGGATAATCTTTCGAAATAACTAATTATTTAAATATCTAATGGAATAGATAATCCCTAGTTTCTGTGTTACTAGCCATATCATGATTGCTCATTTCATAACAACCTAGAGATTATTGTGTGGTTCACAAGTAGGACAAATGTCTTAGCATGATATGCACAAAAGGTAATTAATACAATACACATAAATATAAAAATAAAACTCAGAATTAACCTATTGTTATTACTTAGTGCTTAGCTCAACACTGTTTATTTATCATGCTTATAATGAAAGTTACTAATATGTAGTAGTTTACTGAATATTTTTGAGGATGCAGTTACAAAACGAAAATGATTAATTTCGGAAAACAGAATGTAACCCTCTCTAGTGCTTCTCCCATACTAGGTTTAAGTTTAATCCAGTCATTCTATACCGTTGCTCTCCAATTACTACATTAACACCTAAACATATTTTCATTCAGAACTGCTGGTGTAGCTGAGTTGCGCACATCTTTATTTCTTCTGGTGTTTATTTACAAAATGGGAAACCTGTTCTTCAAGCGGTAGAATTTATCGAAAAAATTTCAGTGTCAAACACGATTGTACAATGTAGACACTTATCTAAACTTATTATATACAACAATTAATCTGCTGTGGAAAAGTTTCAAACATGGAGATAGCTCCTCCACTGTTTTCTCAACTAAATTCACCTATAATTCATAACGCCACCTTTTTCCGTTTGACGAATTTTAAAATATAATGTATTCAGACGTTAATGAAGCAACCGGAAAGCGGCGGCATATAACAACCGCTATGGAATAGCTGAACGCATGTATACAGATCAGCATAATAAAATAATAAACAATATGCAAATAAATAAAATCGTTTAAAATTGGTTTAAGTATAAAATTAATATTCCTTTTCACATGTTTAAAATTAAAATAACTTATCCCCAGGGAAAGTTCAGTATTGCTCCAATTGACAAGATTGGTTGTAAATTAAAATTACTAGATTTGAAATAAAGTTCATTATTGCTCCAATTTGCAAGGCTTATTCTAAAGTAAAACTATTACACATCAGAAACAGTTCATCATTTCTCCAGTTGAAAAGAATGGTTATGTGCTTGATTTTATTTAAAAATAAAATTATGCTGAAGTTCTAATTAATGAAATTCATCACAATATTACTATTGTTAACTGTAATCTGAAAAATTATATTGTTTTAAATAATTCTCTAAAGGTTCTAAAAATGAAATATATTGATTGATAATGTATGATTTAATTTACCATATGTATATGCTGTCCCTAAATCATAAACAAATCCTATAAAGTTCAGATTTATTACTATTTCAGTGAAAACTACATCGATGCTTTATGTTACTATTCTTTATGAAGCGTTATATATTTCATTTGAAAATAGTAAAACTCATACTGAATGTTTAACTGTTGAAGGATTATCAGTAATAGCGATTCAGGCTTAGAGTGTTCAGAGGCTCAGTTCCACTTCTCCCAAAATTACCTTTGATATTACTACTTTATTTATTAAACTAGCCTTATCCGATTTATAGTTTTTAAATTACTAGTCAATCAATTTTCAAATGATATTACATTGGTACTAAAATATTTTCAGAATAAAAACAATATAAAAGTTTATCTAATTTGAATATTTTAGTCATTTTATTATTTTCAACAAACAAGTGAATAAAAACAGATTGACATATTAATGAAGGCTAAATATTCAACTAATGTTGGTAAAATAAATTTCTTCTTCTACGAACCTTTTCTTAAAACAGTACTCTACTTCTCAAAAGTACAAATTTAGCTTTCATTATATTGGCGATGTAGTAAATATTAATAAACTAACTATTGTTCAAACCTTTTCTTCAATTTATCATCCAGAACCAGGTACTCAACACACTAATAATACTGCATCTACCGCACATGATCAAGATTTGAGTATTGTTTTTCTAACGAATTTAAAATAAGACCCAAAACTTGAGCACTTTCGAATAATTGACTATTCTTCTTCAGAAGAACTAACGAAAATGTTCAAGTGTCCATATTTGATAATAGATGTGAATATAACTTTCGTGTTTTTCACATTCCACCTCCTAACAGTGTTATCCCTTATACTTTTTAATGGAGTGATTATTTCACAAACATAAAATATTGTTGTTGTTTTTGCAATAATAATTTCCCTCTTCTTAAGTAATGTTGTTTTATGGACAAAAAGACTAAACTTTGATGGTTTTTAGGTTTGAGAAATTATCAAATTCTACAGATTTTTTTAATCAATATCACAATTTATTAGAAAAAATCTTAAGATTTATTCACATCTTTCATTAAATATTTGTATTCCTTAGTGTAGAGAGCGATGGTAGGATAAGGTCTTATTTTTTTACAATATCAATACTGTGTTTTAAAAATTACCATTAATGAACACGTATTGATTAAACAACTGAGCCTGAAGAAACTATCATCAAATAATTGTGTTTGTCCAACATGTATTAAACACGTGAAGTGACTGAGTTGATGTATTAAACACGTGAAGTGACTGGGTTGATGTATTAAACACGTGAAGTGACTGAGTTGATGTATTAAACACGTAAAGTGACTGAGTTGACGTATTAAACACGTGAAGTGACTGAGTTGATGTATTAAGCACGTGAAGTGGGACGTGACTGAGTTGATGTATTAAACACGTGAAGTGACTGAGTTGATGTATCAAATACGTGAAGTGACTGAGTTGATGTATTAAACACGTGAAGTGACTGAGTTGATGTATTAAATACTTGAAGTGACTGAGTTGATGTATTGCAAATTAGTTCTAACTTTCTATTTTCTAAAATGTGACTTGAATGTACTTCATTTTTAAGAGTGGATGTTGGGATACTATATCAATACCATCAGGAGGGCTGTATAATTCTGTTACATCACCGCAATGTTCATTTTATCTTTGGAATTATGGTCGGACGTACGTTCTTATTTAAATGATAAATATGTACATTATGTATAATCCTGTTTTAGCTTCTTTTTTTTTTCTCTCCTTCCTTATTGGAGTTACTACTATAATCACAACTAGTCGTGAATGGTAGATAGGCGTGGGATATTGGTCATTGAGCAACTACCCAGTATTTACCCTTGGGGGGGGGGGCTCTTGCTGCAATTAGCTTTTGCCAAGAGCAAGGTTATATCTTTCGTATGCATCAAAGGCTTCAGGACCACTGAAATAGTGAACAGAGTTAAGTGAAACATCTGTATTGTAAGTAACATCCTAAAGCTTAGTTAAGTGTGATAAACTGGTTGTTCAGGGTGCAGTGAATTATTAATAAAGACAGTCACAATTAATCCCAGGGAACAACCCAATAGAAAACAACAAATTTAATCTGATTAGAAGCTTAACAGCTCGCGTTTCCTTTTTAGCTGTAGCATCATAGTATCGATTTTTGCCAGACATAACCGTTTAAGTTAAATGACATATTTTTAAAATATATTTGAAGTCTTGTTATTTTTCTAAAAGTAAGTTGTTCATTTTGACTGAAGATAGCAGTATCTCAAAAAAGAACACTTGAACACTTCAACACCATTTTTCAGATAATTTTGTTCCAGAGTAAAATCGAACAAAAAGATGGTGAATCGTTTGCTTGTAAAGTATAGCTAACAAAAGGAATACTAGTTTTTATTTCTTAAATATTTAATAAAAAATGTATATGGCCATGTGAATCTCATTAACGAATAGAATCGATCGACTCTATTTCATGACTACATCATTAGATGAATCTCTACTGCTTCAGTATTGTATATATCAAATTTGTGGCTTTACTTACGAAATAATACACTTTTAGTGGCATATTTTGAAACTATTTGTTTGTTTGTTTGTAGTTAAGCACAAAGCTACACAAAGGGCTATCTGTGCTTTGCGCACCACAGGTATTGAAACCCGACTTATACCGTTGTAAGTCCGCATATTTTTTTCTTTTAAATTGTGGTGTTAGATTATGTTTAATGACATCACAATATATGGAAACCTTGAGTTTCCTTTAACACACATAATTGTATATGACATCTCTAGCAGATCTTGTATGACACCTATCTATATGCAACACAATGGTAGCTGGTCTCTTATGGTACTTCTGTGTTTGCAACACAACCGTAGATGATTTTTTATCGTAAGTGTCTATATGCAATATAACTAGATAGTTTTTTATTGAACCTGTCTATATGCAACACAATCTCTTACAGTACCCCGCTGCCTCCAGTGTCTCAGCGATAAGTCTGTAGGCTTATAACGCTAAAAGTCGGGATTCGATACATAGATAGCCCTTTGTGTAGCCCTGCGCTTAACAACAAACAAACAAATGGTACTTGGTTATTTGCAACACAACTGAAATTGGTGTCTCACAACAATAGTTGGTATCTTATTATAGTACCTGTCTGCATGTAACAACTTTAGTTCGTATCTCATGGTATCTGTCTGCATGTAACACTACTATAGTTATAATGGCTGGAGACGGCTTAAATGGGTAATGAAGAAAAACTTTAATATAAGTTTAACATAACAGCAAATGTACAACGTTTCGACAAGGTTTTGTCATCATCAGGTACAAGTAATTTACACTGACACGGATATATATATACAGATT